CTTGTGTTTTTGTCTAAGATCTCCAGCTATGTGTATTTGGCTAGGTTTACAGTACCAGACATGAGTTTCCTCCCCTTGAGTGGGCTTTAAGTCCAATTAGGTAGCAGTTGATTACCCCCAAAATAAAAGTGCCACTCCTGCACCAATGTCGTTTGCTATGTTGGTCATTGATGTGGGGGTTTTTTGATCTTTTTGAGACAGGGTTTCCCTGTAGCCCCAGCTGTCCTGGAACTCACTGTGTAGACCAGGCTGGCCTTGAATTCACAGAGATCCGCCTGCCTCTGCCTCCCAAGTGCTGGGATTAAAGGCATGCGCCACCACACCTGGCTTGATGTGTTTTTTAGGTCTTGAAGCTAGGGTTGGACCTTTGGTTGATGTTCTCTCTTACCAGCTTTCATAGTGCTCTCCAAGCTACCCTTCAGGGGAGGTGGCTTCCAGGTCAGTTCCAGCTCCACTGCTCCAAATCCTGTGTCCAAAGTATGTCCTGACTTCAGCAATAGGGTCTTACCATCAATTTCTAGGAGGCAAAGGGCTGTGGCAATAGCTTATGTAATTTTGGGAGTCTCTTGGACTACCCTGGCCAGTAACTCAAAGGAAAGTTTCTCCTGTCTGGTACTGTTTCTTGTTATGTAGTCTTCAGTTATACTCACGAATTCATGTAAGGATATTGTGTGTGTAATTTTTCAGTAGGTTTTTAGACTAATACGATTCCCTCTGGTTTTAATACTAGCTAGGCACTATTCTTTAGAATTCTTGAAAATGTTTTATGTCATAGAATCTTTATGAAATAATGTTAAATAAAATCAGTCTTTTCCCTTTCTCCTCTCCAGTCTGTTTTACCTCATTTCTGTAACCTTCCCCTGGAACAAACTGACCCTCCCTCTCCCAGTAACTATCAATTGCCAATAGATCTCAGCTAGGGCTGGAGCTTCTTGTCCAGCTCCCCATCCATGCTAGATTTTTGTCTAGCTTGGAATTGTACAGGTCTTGTGCATGCTCTGTCACAAGCACATGAACTACCCTGTTCTGTCCAGACAACATGGTTTCTTTATATTCATCCACCACCTCTGGTTCTTACAACCTTCCTGTTCCCTCTACTGCAATGATTCCTGGGCATTAGGAAGAGAGGATATGATATAGGTGTATTCGTTAGGGCTGAGCATTCCACAACTTATTCCTCTCTTATATTCATTTTATTGCTCCTAAGCTTCCAATTTTGTGCCCCACCCCCAGGCATCCTTTGAATTAATCATTGCTAATAAAGTCTGTCAATCTCATTTAAATCTTTTGGTGAATTTTTATCTTTATTCTTACTAAAAACAAGCTACTGACACCTAGCATAGAGAGAATTAAATGTAGCAATGTATAAAATGTCAGTTGTACAAAGTGAATATATTCTGGAGATCTGTGCAACATTGTGCCTATAATAACAATACTGTATTATACACTTAAAATGTGTTTGGGGGGCTGGGGAGATGGCTCAGTAGTTAAGAGCACTGGCTGCTCTTGAAGAGGATCCATGTTTGATTCCTAACAATCATTAACTCCAGTTCCAGGGTATCCACCACCTCTTCTGACCTCTATAGGCATTGCACAACATGGGTACACATACATACATGTAGGCAATATACTCATGCACATAAAATAAAAATAATTTTAAAAAATGTTTCTAATGTATTAGGGTTGGGGTGAAACTTGGTGACAGGTTACATGCTAAATTAATGTGCCAGGGCTCTGGGTTAGATCCCAGCACTGTGTTACAGGGAGAAAAAAAAAAAAAAAAAAAAAAAAAAAGAAAGCATGTAGTAAGTTAGGTGTTCTTCCCACATGGCTTTTTAGTGAGCAAACCGTTATAATCTTTAGCACATCTGCAGTTGATAGCCTAACAGAATATGTAGATAAAATTCCTTCTGGAATGTGCAAATGACATCCGGCCCCCTCCTCCTTTGGTCTCAACAACAGAGGTCCGCTTGGGAAACCAGTGAGTTTATTGTCTGTACTTAGAGAGCAATGGGTGAGGGTTTACTTATGGTGTGGGTGCTCACCTTGTAAGGCCATACTGGAAAGTCTCTATCAAGGCATGAATCATGATTTCCCCACAGCTGCACAAAATGGTGAGAGACCCTCCGCACAGCTTCCTCAGTTACATACCTTTGCCCTTCCCCCTTGTACAGCTAGGGTCGCTGGTTGGTTGGGAGGTATGCCTGACTGTCCCTGTCCCTTCTTTCTTGTGGAGCATAGCAGTCCACAAGCTTGGGAAGATGGCATCTGTCCATCATCTGTCTTGTCGGAGGACAGTCCTGTACAACAGAGTAGGTGGCAAAATAAAAAAGTTATTGAATGAATAAAGTAAAACGGTTACTTCTCATTGCTAAAACATTAATTTTTCATAGCATCTCAATTTCCTGTTTAATGAATGTAACCTTTATTTTTGTTTCAGAGTTTGTATGTTCATGTGCATGTATGTGGCTGTGTGTATGTGGCTGTGTGTGTGTCACAGAGACAGAGACAAGCTGAGAGAGGATGTTTGTTATGTGGGCTCATGAAGGCCACAGTAAGCATCTGGAGGTCAGAGGACATCTTGGATCCTGAGAATCGAACTCAGGTTTCAGTCTTGGCAATGAGTACCTTTATTCATTGAACCATCACCTCAGCCCCCAGTATTTGTAGTTTTAAAGAGAATAAAGACAGGAAGTTAGGGCTGTGGTACGGCACTTGCTTACCATGCATAAAACCCTGGATTTGATCAACAGTATTGCAAAAATAGAGAATGGTGTTTAAAGACTGGCATCTTTTTTCTCTTTTCTAAAATGTTTCATCGTCTAGTCTGTATGTCTCAAATTGAGTATCTTTCACAGAGATAAGCAGTAGACACCTAGAACTCAGTTTTAAAATTCTGGAACTACTTTTTATTTATTTACCTAAGGGATTGTCTACAGCTTGAAAACGTTTTTTGCTGACTAGTAAACCAAAGCCCACTGGAGTGATAAACTGAAAATGCAGTTCGTAATTGAGTGGTGTGGGATGTCTTGGTCACTTGGGTAACTTCTTTTACTAGGAGGCTTCTTATCACCCACGTGTCTCACAACTTGAGAAAGCAGAGGCGCGAACACACACACACACTCATCATATACACAAACACAAAATGAACTTGAGTAAACACACATGCACACACATATATGCACACACATACATACATGACACACACAAAAAGCCTATATGTAAGCCATAAGCATGTGAACTAGATCAGGGAAAGAGATTTGGGGGTGGGTTGCAAGGAAACCTGAAAAACCTTAGGCCCTGGGAGACCCTTCTGTTTTCCTCACTATCAGAACATTTATGTACAAACTGTCATTTAAGCTGGATTGTTTCTACAGGTAGTTGATATTCATATAATGTGTTCTGAGCATAATTAACACCAAAATTAGAATTTCTATTTCTGTGCAATCCCTCCCCTCACATTCCTTTTTATTGAACTAAATTGGAGTTACTGCCACTTAAACAGCAAAGCTTCACTAATTCCTATTATTGGAGAATCATCAGCCTGAATTGTGTATGAACCTTTGTGGGTATGGGGTGGTTTGCCCAGACCTTAAAAATGCTGCGTGCTCTTTATCATCCCCAACCTCTGGGCATTTTTGAATATGTAAATGTAAACACACATACTGAACCCATGTGCCTACACTTAACCTTAGCTATTAACAACTAATGACTATTGTATTTTTATCTAAATCTCTGCCTCTGCCCCCTCATACAGTATTTTTAAATTGTTCCCAGGTATCACATTATTTTGTTGATGAACATTTCAGTGTAGTTAGCTCTAAAAAACTTTTAAGTACCATTAGCCCATTTCATATCTTAATTTTTTTAATTCCCTAAGTAAATTAAGTATACCTCATAAATATTGTTTATGTTCTGGGTTTTCCTTAGCATTTCCCATTGTCTAGATTTGACTGATCATATCATTATAGTGTCATCTGAAATGTGTCCTTGTAGTCTCTGTAATTCATTAGGTAGCTAAATTTTAATGTAGTTACAATAAAAAAAATAACAAATAAATAAAAAGATGCTTTTTAAATAAAATAACAAATAAATAAAAGATGCTTTATTGAAAATTCCCATTAAGGAGAAGATTGAAAAGAGACTGATACCTAATAGGGGCTTATATATAAAAAACTTCTAGCCGGGCATGGTGGCACACACCTTTAATCCCAGCGCTTGGGAGGCAGAGGCAGGCAGATCTTTGTGTGTTCAAGACCAGCCTGGTCTACATAGTGAGTTCCAGGACAGCTGGGGCTACAAGGAGACCCTGTCTCAAAAAGACAGAAAAAAAAAAAAAAAAAAAACAACCTTCTGCTGGGCATGGTGGCACATCCTTTTAATCCCAGAACTCAGGAGGCATAGACAGGTGGATCTCTGTGATATCTAGGCCAGCTGGGGCTACAGGGAGACCCTGTCTCAAAAAGACCAAAAAAAAAAGACCAGAAAAGGGGCACATGATTAAGAGCACTAGCTGCTCTTGGAGGGGACCCAGTCTTGATTCCCAGCACCCACATGGCAGCTAACAACTATAACTCAAGTTCCAGGGGAATTCAGCACTGTCTTCTCTCTTCCACAGGTATTTCATGACTCCAGTGCATTTACATACATTCAAGCAATACATTCATGCACATAAAAATAATAAAATATTTTTTAAAATAAATTAAGAAAAACAGGAAAAAAAATGTGAGTCTAATCATTGTCAGTGTCATTCCTTTTTGTGTAGCTCCATAAGATCCAAATGCACTGCTTTTATTTTATAAAGGTAGTGACTTTTCTTTTTTAAATCACTTGAAAACTTCAAAGGAAATTTAATTAATCAAAATTCAGAGAAAAGAGTTGATTTAGGTTTGACTACTACTGCCTACCAATTTGAAAAAATCTTAAATAAATTTGGAGGACTGTTTAATCATCTGCATCTCAGTGTACTGTCTTCTCTGTTTGATGTTTTTTCCTCACAGCCCTGCAGTTGGTTACTTACATCCAGGATCAGAACAAGTACAGTTTCCTCGAACCACATCACCATGCAGTTCTCAGCAACTCCAAGGCCATCAGTGTGCAGGTATGCCTAGATACAGAGATCATGGTTTGTCCATTTGAGATAGTTCACAGTGGGGTTTGGCCTGCAGTGTGCTAAGATATATTCCAGATGTTTTGGATACTGTGTTGAGTCAGATTAGCATGTGCAGTTTACACCTTTCTTTTCTAAAACTGTGATTACTCTCCAGCCCTTATTCTCTTCCCTCTGAGATATCATGATTCCCGGGCCCCATTCCTAGGCCCTCCTGTTTGCAGAGTTTTCTGGGTGATCAGCCAGTCTCTGAGACTTCAACCACTTCTTCCTGCCAACACCCTGCAACTCTTCTACTCAGACACGATCATATAGCCACCTGCCTACTGTCTATCCCTACCCTGAAGTTGAAAGGCAGGTCAGACTCAGTATTTTCCTCCTCTTTTTTACATCACTTACCACAGCTTCCACATAATAACCAAAAAAGAAATTTCTGGCTTATCAGTCTCTTCTCTCATTCTCTGTCATACACACAGTCACCATTTCCTCACAGCTAGTGACTTCTTTCCTTCCCCACTGCTGCTAACTCTAGTGTGTTCTTTTCATATCTTTGCAGTAATCTCTTAAATATTTTGCTTGTTTTCCTCACCTCTTTTTAAAAAATTATTTTTATGTATAGGAAGTGTTTTGCCTGCATATATGTAAGTATACTGCATGCATTCAGTGATCATAAAGACCAGAAGAGGGCATCAGATATTTCCTGGAACTGGGGGTTATACATGGTTGTTAGCCTCCATATAGGTGCTGAGAACCAAACCAGGTACTCTGCAAAGACACAGTGCTCTTAACTAATGAACTATCTCTCCAGCCCATCATGTTTTTCTCAAGTTTTGCTCCTTCCGCAACATACACACAGTTAAAAAAATTACTATCCTGAAATGGAAATGTCTTTGTCATTCCTTGAATTAAAAAATTTCACTATCGCCAGGTGTAGTGGAGCACACGTTTAATCCCAGCACTTGGGAGGCAGAGGCAGGTGGATCTCTGTGAGTTCAAGGCCAGCCTGGTCTACATAGTAAGTTCCAGGACAGCTGGGGCTACAGGGAGACCCTGTCTCA